CCCCCAGCCCCCTATAGCGCCCATAGGCACCGCAGCAGCCCCTGCTGCAGCAGCGAGAGGCGCCGCGTCTTGCGGATCAGCACGTCGGCGATCTGGCACATCTCGATGCTGATGAAGAAGACGGTGTAGCAGGTGTACTGCTGCCGCAGGCGCTGCGCGAACGTCTGCATGCGCGGGGGGGGGTGTTTGCATGCGTGCATTTGCATTTCTGCACGCACCTCGCTGCATTTTGCATGCACGCGTTTGCATTTTGCATGCATGCGTTTGCATATTTGCATGCACACACGTGCGTTTTGCATGCACGCGGTTGCATTTTTGCACGCACTGCATCACATTTTGCATGCACACGTTCGCAATTTTGCATGCACGCAGTTGAATTTTGCATGCAAGCTCTTCCATTTCTGCATTCGTGCTACTGCATTTTGCATGCACGTGTTTGCGTTTTTGCAGGCACCTCGTTGCATTTTTGCATGCCCGCGGTTGCAATTTTGCTTGCATCTCATTGCATTTTGCATGCACGCTCTTGCATTTCTGCATTCGTGCTAATGCATTCTGCATGCACCCAATCGCATCCCACTCGCGCTTTGCATCTCCCTCCGCCGGCAGCGGCCGCCCCCATAGGGCCGCCCTATAGGGCACCTATAGGGCACCTATAGGGCACGTATGGGGCGCGCACCCACTGCTGCCCGTAGCTGTCCTGCAGCTCCTGCTCGTGGATGTCCTCCCAGCGCGGCCGCAGCCCCAGCACCAGCGGCGGCCACCAGCCCTCCTGCGCCAGCGCCACGAAGTAGTCCACGAAGCCGGCGAAGGACTGGATGGCGCCTGCGGGGCACAGGGCCCAGGCGTCCGGGAAGGGGCCCCGGCTTCCGGGAAGGGGCCCCGGTGTCCGGGCACCCACATTCCCCCACAAGGGGCCCAGGCCTCCGGGTGGGAAGGGCCCAGGTTTTGGGGAAGGGCCCAGGTGTCCGGGAGGGAAGCAGGGGGCTAGGGGAGGGGTCCAGGCCTCCGGGAGTGACCCACTCATCCCAGCAGGGTCCCAGGCATCCGGACACCCCCCCAACCGCCCCCCGAGGGGCCCCGGCGTCCGGGCGCACCTATCTGGAAGTAGGAGTAGGCGGCCAGGGGCTCGTTGACCAGCCGGTCCCGCCGGGGGTTCCGCGGCTTCAGGTGCATGATGTCGCTCTCGGCGCGTTCGTAGGCCAGGGACACCGAGGGGAACTGCCGGCAGAGGGGCCCAGGCGTCCGGGAGGGGCCCAGACGTCCGGGAGGGGCCCTGGTGTTCGGGAGAGGGGCCCAGGTGTCCGGGAAAGGGGCCCCGGCGTCCGGACACGCACAATGTCGGTGCAGAGCTCGATGAAGAGGATGGTGATGCAGCCCAGGGGCAGGGGGACGCTGGCCGTGATGTAGACCAGGTAGGGCGTCAGCTCGGGGATGTTCTTGGTCAGCGTGTAGGCGATCGACTTCTTGAGGTTGTCGAAGATGAGGCGGCCTGCGGGGCGGGCGGCGACACGCGTGTTCATTTGTGTTCGTGCATGTTCATGCGTGTCGCGGGCTCCGGGAGCCAGGCGGGGGGCGATGGAGTCATCCGTGCGTGTTGTGGGGCCTATGAGGCCGCCCATAGGTGTTATGGAGTCGTTCATACGTGTTACGGTGTCTACATACATGTTCATATGTGTTATGGTGTCTAAGGGCTCGTTCATACATGTTATGGTGTCTACATACATGTTCATACATGTTATGGTGTGTTCATATGTGTTATGGGGTCTACATACGTGTTCACACGTGTTACGGTGTCCAGGAGCTGGTTCATACGACCCAAGAAGCCCCAAGAAGACCCCGTGGGACCCAAGAGGATCTAAGGGACCCCAAAGGGACCCAAAGGGGACCTGAGGGCACCCATAGGACCCCAAGAGGACCCATAGGACCCCAAGAGGACCCAGGGGACCCAAGAGGCCAAGAAGACCCAAGGGGACCCAGAGAAGACCCAAGGGGACCCATAGGACCCCAACGGACTTGAGAGGACCCATAGGGACCCAAGGAAGTCCAGGAAGATCCAAAGGGACCCAAAGGGACCCAAGAGGACAAGAAGGCCCAAGGGGACCCAGGTGACCCCGGTGCCCCCAGGTGCCCCCAGGTGCCCCCGCTGACCCCCGCCCCCCCGCGCACCCTGCTCCACGCCGGTGACGATGGAGGCGAAGTTGTCGTCGAGCAGGATCATGTCGGCCGCCTGCTTGGAGACGTCGGAGCCGGCGATGCCCATGGCCACGCCGATGTCGGCCTTCTTGAGCGCCGGCGAGTCGTTCACGCCGTCGCCCGTGACCGCCACGATGGCGCCCTGGGGACACGGGGGGACATGGGGGGACGTTGGGACACATGGGGACAATGGGGACAATGGGGGACAATGGGGACATGGGGGATATGGGGACAATGGGGATATGGGGACATTGGGCAACATGGGGGGACATGGGGGACATGAGGACACATGGGGACAAGGGACACATGTGGGATATGGGGGACATGGGCAACATGGGGGGGATGTTGGGGACATGGGGGGTATGAGGGCGTGGGGGACATGGGGTGGGCTCTGCATGTGCCCTTGTCCCCCCATTGTGTCCCCATGTCCCCATTGTTCCCCCATGATGTCTCCATGTCCTCCAATGTCCCCCATTGTCTCCATATCCCCTGTTGTCCCCCCGTGTCCCCATTGTCCCCAATGTCCCCATGTCCCCCATTGTTCCCATGTCCCCATGCCCCCCGTTGTCCCCCAATGTCTCCATTGTCCCCCAGTGTCCCAATTGTCCCTCCATGTCCCCAATGTCCCCCCATGCCCCACCAGGCGCTGGCAGCTCTCCACGATGAGCAGCTTCTGCTGGGGGGAGGTCCTGGCGAAGACGATCTCGGGGTGACTCCGGAGCGCCCCGACCAGCGCCGTGGCCTCCATGTCCTGCAGCTGCGCGCCCGTCAGCACCCGCGCCCGCGCCTGTCTGCGGGGACATGGGGACAGCATGGGGACATGGGGACATCCTGGGGATACTGGGGACATTGGGGACATTGGGGACATGGGGGACATGGAGAGACATGGGGTCATTGGGGACATTGGGAGAACATGGGGACACGGGGTCACTGGGGACATGGGCACCCATCAGCACCTGCGCCGCCTGTCTGGGGACAGAGGACACCGTGGGGACACCATGGGGCCATTGGGGACATGGCGAGATGGGGACACTACAGGGGACATGGGGGTCGTTGGGGATGTTGGGACATGGCGACACCATTGGGAGATTGGGGGACATGGGGGATGTGGTCATGGGGACACCATGGGGTTCATTGGGCCATTGGGGACCCTGGGGGGACATTGGGGACACGGGGGTCCTGGGGGGCCCGGGGGGGCCCGGGGGGGGGCCCGGGGGTCCCACCTGGGGTCGACCTGCTCGAGGGGCAGGCGCAGCCGCGCCGCGATGTCCTCGGGGGTCTCGCTGCCCTCCGAGATGATGCCCACGGAGGCCGCGATGGCCTTGGCCGTGATGGGGTGGTCGCCGGTCACCATGATCACCTGGGGACACGGGGGACATGGGGGGACACAGGGGACAGGGAGAGATGCAGAGGGCACGTTGCAAACTGGACATTGCCCATTGCAATCCCTGCATTGCATTTTGCAATCCATGCATTGCACGTTGCAATCTGTTCATCGCATGTTGCAATCTGTGCATTACACACAGCAATCCGTGCATTGCACGTTGCAATCTGTGCATTGCACGTTGCAATCCATGCATTGCATTTTGCAATCTGTGCATTGCACGTTGCAATCTGTTCATCGCATGTTGCAATCTGTGCATTGCACTTTGCAATCCATGCATTGCATGTTGCAATCCGTGCATTGCACGTTGAAATCTGTGCATTGCACTTTGCAATCCGTGCATTGCACGTTGCAATCTGTGCATTGCAAATTGCAAACTGCACATTGCACCTTATAATCCGCGCAACGAATATTGCAATCCGTGCATTGCACGTTGCAAGCCGCGCGCCGCACCCCGCCCGTTGCAAGCCGCCCCCGGCGCCGCTCACCCGGATGCCGGCGGTGCGGCACTTGCGCACAGCGGCCGGGACGGAGGCCCGGGGCGGGTCGATCATGGAGACGAGGCCCACGAAGCAGAGGCCGTCGCCGGGCAGCTGCTCCGGGCTCAGCGCCGACGCGGGG